TTCCTACTTTTTGGCCAGATCACCTGGGGATGTTCCAGTCTCAATGAATATAATGCATAGAGGGCAGATCTGACCCCCTTCTCTCCCACCTTGCATTTCTTTTTTCCAGGCCCTTCAAGAGGTTATTTAATCCAAGAAATGTCTGCTAGTTTTCTACACTCCCAGCAAGTTCCAGCATTCATACTTCCAGTTGGAACAAGCATGAGATCAGCAAGCCATGTTTTTTTAAATCTTCACCCTTGGTCTAAAACTAATTTGGCAAATTTTAACTCCTAGTGCCTATATTTCACAACCTGTTAAACAAGGTTAATAGTTGCCTAACAAAAGGAGGCTTGTGAGCATAAATTGGTTGCTAGTAAAGCAGATTGCAGTTACTGACTGTCATTACACAATAGGGACTGGCTGAAATCCAGGGACTTCTGACATATATAATATAGTCTATTGCAATGGTTTTAGGAGTATGTACATGTAGAAAACAAGCAGAATTACTGAACTAGGAGCTCTATTTATAGCTCTAACCATCAGAATGGATTAGAACTTCTGTTCTATGGGTAAAGACAGAGCAATGCTGAGAGTCTGAAAGTGAGACAGAGGACAGCTGTGAAAATTGTCAACTTTGAATGAGAATCTGTTACCAAACTTGCTTGGGGTGGAAAACCCCTGTCAGGAAAGGAGGAGCAAGAAGAGGTAACAGAGTTAGAGGTGTGGAGGGCCAGGGTTCAGCCCACCCGTGGAACACAGCTTAACCCCACAGGATTCCAATGAGTGCGAAGGTTGCTGTAGGCTGAGGGCACTGTGTTCAGGGACATGTTATTTTCCATAACTGTATAACTCTCTGGTGGCCTAAGAATTCCTTGCTTTATCTCTTACCTGTTTGTAAAGGTTAAATTGGTTGGAGTTTTGGCAAGAATGTTTATCAGATACTAGAGAGACCTGACAGGAGAGTTCCGGTCTTAGGTCCTAGGGCAGCTGCATCATTGGGTCTCACCATCTCATGGAAGGTGTCACCTGGGAGTCTGCACCACAGGAGTGCACCTGATGGGCCAGAACTGGAAGCTGTGTTGGATGTGGCTTAAACCTAGTGGGCTTAGGAGTATGTAGACTCCAAAGGTTAGGCCCTATACAGTAGACTGGAGACCATGGGGACTCATCCAGGGCTCTAATGCCCCTAAAGAAAACTCAGAAGGCACCAGCAGTGCTGCAGCAACAAAGTTTAGTGCCTAGGGATGGCCGTGATACCCCTAGGGCTCCTTGATTGTGCCAATCCTGCCCAATGGGCACCCTCTTTCTTTCCTGCCATGTCTTGTTGGTAATTATTATGAATAGGGAGGCTATCCTTGAGTTTACATTGCGCACAGTCCTGATGGACCCTGTTGAACCCTGTGGGGTCTTGGATCCCTTTTGGGTCTTGCACAAAAAATGGTTGTCTCACGGGGCACCATCAGCCTTGTGGGCTAGATGCATGGCTCCAAAACCACCCGTTTACCATGCGCCAAGCCTCACAGATGGCATTCACCCCTTGTCTCTCTCTGTGCCCCCTTCAACAAAATACCTCACGAAGCAATATTATAAACAATGAGGATAATGGTATGGACAAAAGCATCATTAGTTTTCTTTTCTCCATATTATACCTACAATAGAGTCATTAGATAAGCTGCATACAGGGCTCTGAATTCCCCTAGTTGGACCTCTGGCACAATACAAACAGATAATTTCACCCAAGAATTCTCTTATCATGGCCCATACCTTGTAGCTGAACTATAGTATATCATTTGTTCAAGACACTCCGTGCCTCTCAAAACTTTAGAAAGTCATCCAGGGTGCCTGTAGATGTGTGGGGAGACTGCTCCGACACACTGTAATTAATTACAGCATGCTGCCTGCAGCCTCTGTGTCTTGTGTATCAGTATCCCCACAATTCAAAATGGTGGTGGGGCACTTAATTAAAGTTTGCTTGACAGGCATTAGTTAAAGTGCCCCCACTGCCATTTTGAAGTGCAGGGATGCTGATACATGAGAAGCTGTGGGCACTTTAATTAGAGCAGCTCCTGGAGCCGCTGAATTAAAGTGCCCCCCTTTCACTCCCCACCCCCAGAGCATGTATAAAAATGCCCTCCAGTCTTGATTTAAACATTTCCACTTTGGTGTAATTTCAGCTGCCAGCCATTTGAATTTTCATGCCTTCACTGGAGGAAAGGGCCTCCTCCTATCACATACGTATTCTTTGTGCAAATAATTATACAAGTCAAGCCACCTCTTACCATTCTCTTTGATAGATTATGTGGCTTGGAGCCTCTTGCTCTATCACAGGAAGGTGTGTTTCACACACCTAAAATCATTCTTACAGCTGCACTATGAAAGCTTTTCAATAATATTTGTTAAGTATTAATCTCAAAACTAAAACCTACCAATGTCATCTGTAGAGGTAATATCATCTCCATGACATACTTGGGCTGCTGTTAGCCTTGTTAATCATGCTGTTCCACTGGAGCTCACATTCCATTAGAGCACGTGACTGGAGCACACCCCTGTAGCGTACTGACGAGCACCCTTCCATGGGAGAATTATCCTCCATAGTTCATAACAATTCCAAGGATGTTTTACTACCTGCACGAGACCTCCCAAAGTGCCATCTCCTGGAATATTACTGTTTTACTATATTGCTCAATACATGTAGGCAATTTAAGAGATACTTGTCCTGTTTGCAGACTGATTTGGTGGTGTCATGGCGTGGGGTCCAGTAAGATGGCCATGATCTCCCTAAGGCCCCCTTTACCGTGCCAAGTTGACCAAATGGGCACCCTCGACTCTTGCCCGCCATGTCTTTGCTGACAAAATATATTTGGGAGGCTGCCTTTTACGCCCTCTTGGTCACGTCTTGCTGGACACTCGGACCCCATTTCCCAGACCCCTCGTGGGTCCTGCTTTGCAATGGGTGCTTCAGAGGCATCCTAGCCTCATGGGCTATGCATGGCTCCAACCACCCCTTTACCATGCCCCAAGCCTCGCAGTTGGAATTGACGTTGTTCAGTCACGGCCTTGTTATAATGTGGCCCTCTTGTCCTCTCCGGGCCCTGTACGGCCCTGTCTTGCTCTGCCCCCTCTCCTGGGGCTTTTCAAAGTGCTGCCCTCTTCTCTGGGGCTGGGGTCAGTGCACCCAAATGCTGCGTCCTCGCTGGTGCTGGGCCCCCCACACTGCTGTGGGTCCCCTATGAGGCCTCCTCCAACCCTAATAGCCTCACCCAAACCACCGGTCTTTAAGCAGCAACAAAACACAAGCCCCTGGGCTGTAACATAAATTAAAGCTGCCCGGCTAAAACATCATTCAAGCCTACCGAGGAATACTTCATCCCACAGCATTGTCAGATGCTGCTCCTGCAGTCAGGCTTCTGCACTCTTCCCTGAGAGAGCTCCTTCCCCCTTTGGCTGCTGGCAGGGAGCTTCCCTCCTGACCTCAGCCCCTAGGGTTTATAAGGGAGCCAGGCCCTGCCCCTTTCAGTCAGCTGACCACTGGCAGGTGTGATCGCTTGCTAGCTCCAGTTTCCCATGGTAACCAACAGCTGGGCTCTTTACTCACTGCTAGGGCTCCTTCCCTAGCAGTTTCCCCTCTTTAGGAGCAGAGCACCTCAGTGCTCTGTGACAGGTGGCCTGTAGCAGATCCTCACCAGCACCCCCACCTTGCACTTCTGCAGTGAGAGCAATGATCCACAAGCATTCCAAAGTCTGTGCTTCCAGGCTCTAGTTAATAACTCCTAAACAGATTATTGTTAGCAGACATTGTGATGCCCTCCCTGCCTTTTTTTTTTTAAACCTACTTTGTCCCTTCTAACTAGGTTGTAGCCAAGGATTTTAAAGTTCCATCCCATGAACCCTCCCATTAGGTTTCAGTGATGTGCCAGATTATTTCTTCATATAGGAGACTCTACAATTTATTTTGCTACCTTGGCTCCTAGAACTAGTATATAGACAATGGAAGAAGATTTCATTACACTTAAGTAATCTTGAATGCAAGTTGCGCATTCTTTATGTAGTTACTCCCCAAACATCCTGAATTTTTGTAGCTTATTGAACTCCCTTCCAACAGGGTTAGACAATCTGAAACCCAAAATAGACCATAGGGATGGAAACTATCCAAACCAGATAAGACCTTTTCATCATAGAAAACCACTAATGTCCCATAAAGCCACCTTCCCCTCTTTACATATCTTCCCTAGCCAACAATTTGCTTCTAGTAGTTTCTGTTATCTGTTCTGTGTGGGAAAGGATGGATCTCCAAGACCACATGGACTTTCTTCTTCAGTTCCTTTCTAGGTTCCCTGATATTTTCAGAAGTCTCAGTGTGACCTGAAGCAGTTATCACCAGTGAAATCTTTTCTGCTGCTTCAGAATCCGACCCTGCAGTTATGTCCTTATTCTTCACCTCAGAATGACAACACACCAAGCAGTCTACACTTCCCAGGCAGGCACACCCAGTCACCACTCAATCACTACTCTCACAGAGCACTCAGAATTCACAAGTCTGGAAACCCTTCTAAAGGCACTGGAAAAAATGCACCAAACCCACAATATTTTATGATAGAAAAGTGGGAATTGTTTTTGTCAAAAAATGTTTTTCTTTTGCGTTTGGAAAGAGTTTTTCTCCAAAATATTGCGTTTCTTACTAGTAATTTCATGTTTTGTTGAAAAAATTGATTTTTCTGTTGGCTTATCTTGTATTCAGTTTCTCAAAGTGAACCTTACTTTTCCATAGAAAAATGTATACAAATTCAGATTTTTTTGTAAGTGAGGTGAGAGAAAGTCAACTAACTTTTACTGTTGAGTTACTTGCCCCCAGTACAGATTCTACATGTAGTCTCTCAAAAACCCCTTTTTATTCCTAATAGCACTTTTCAAAACAGTGGTTGCACGTATTTGTATCTATTGAAGAATAAGTAAAGCTAATTGGAATGAAACACATTACAGGTATGTTGAAAATAACCAAAATAGCTTGAAGAAAGTAATGATTTCTAATACTTCAGCTGTATTTGTATTTCCAATGAAACAGCTGCTCTATCATTTACATGTGAGGGAGAGTAGTGCTGTTGTTCTAGTTGTATGAATTGAGAACCAAGGTACTGAGAAACTAATGGCAAAACATAATTCACTTGACATGCCTAAGTGACATATACATAGCCAGGTAACTGCAGTTTTGGGCTCTTGCACACAGGTCGGGATTCAGATGCCCCTCTGGCATCTCTTCACCCCTCTCCTTGCACCCAACAAATTATGAAAGCACAGTGATTTGTAATTCAAATTGACCATTTATGTATGTGACAAATGTTAGCATTAGTAGAGAGACTATTATATAGGATCACTTAGGCTATGTCTATATAAGCAGGTCCAATAGAATAGTGGCCTCAATGAACAGTTTTTAAGGTCAGAAGAAGGGGACATTATGATCATCTTGCTTGACACAAGCCAGAGATTTCTATTCTGAGATTCTTGTGTTAAACCCATAGTTTCTAATGGAGTTAAAGCAGGGGTATCAACATCATTGTTTCCCAGGATGAATCTGGGCTGCAGGGCTCCTTGCAGGCTAGGTCCTGCATAGGATATAAGGAAGCAGTGGCAGTGGCAACTCTGGCTCCAGCTTGGAGCACACAGTAGTAGGTAGGTTCAGCCGCTGCCATGTATTCTGTGCCAGATCCAAAGATGCCACTGCTGTGAGCGCCATGATGTGGTGGCAGCTCCAACTTCAGCTTGGGGCATGCATTATGGACTGGTGGCCAGGGAGGTAGGGCCACAGCAGCGGTGAGAGGCAAAGTGGTTGGAGTGCAACCAGGGCTGTCAGCCCTTGCTTGTCCTCCTGCCACTGATTGCTAAGTCCGCTGGAACCTGAGGCCCCAGATTCTGCAGCAGGTCACTGTGCCCTGAACATGCCCCGCCAACTTCCAGTGGCTTGCTGGTATTGTAGCGGATTGGCAACAGCAGCTTTATGTGCCAGATCCGGCACACAGGCAATATGTTTGACACCCATGATCTAAAGCATTTTTTCTTGAAAGACACTCATTCCCAAGAAGGACTGACTGACTACACAAGTATTTGCAACAGTTTAACACCACACTTTTAGTTAAGTCTGTGCACCTTCCTCTTAACATGTAGTTCAGCTGGAGGAGACATTTTACCATGACATTAATTAAACTTTGATTTTTAATCTTTACCTTTAGAAGCCCTACTACTCTAAGGGTCTTTTCTGAGAGGTGTGTGTTTCCTGCCTCCTCATATAGAGAAACTGCATTGATAGAAAAGATTTATACACCAAGGAATAGATACAGGATTCAACATTATCCCAGGACTACTGGAAACCAAGAAAAATTGCAGCAAAGAGTGCAAAAAGCCCAAATATTTTAAGCAAATATGGGCAGAAGGTTGATGAATCTTCTATAACTCGTGTTCTTGTGGGCTTCAGTGTCCGGTCCCACTGGGTCAGGATGGCATTCTTGGCTCCGTCCCATTTCCCTGGTCCAGTCAGGCGATAATGATAGTTGGTGCATGGACCAAAGAAGATTTTCAGGGCCAGTTTTGGATCCCTGAAGAACAGGGCCAGCACATTGGGTTTTGCACCAATGAAGGAAGCGATTGAATCAACATATTCCAGGCATTCTGTTTTCAGAACCTCATCAAAAGTGACACCGAACCTTAATAAATCAGGAAAGAAAGGGAGAGGATGTCACTTGGACAGATAAAACAGAGGTTGCTATAGAAATTCAGCCCTAGCTTCCTGGTTTGCACAAGTATTGTTTTTGGACGTGCTTAGATTTCTTTGGACAAATACTGCCCAAACCCTGGATAATGACATAGTTACCAGCTAAATTATGGTCTTCAGGTACCTTAGCTGTTGGTTAATTAAATCAACATTGAGCTTCACAGCACCCAAAAGTTGCCCTTATTATAAACATAGGGAGCAGCTATAGAACTGATATCTGCTGTATGCTGTTTCTGTTGCAGTTCAAGAGTGTTCAGACCTAAGTCAAGGCTCTTTGCATTATGCAATCCTGCCTTACCAGTGAATCTTGTTCTGCTTCTTCTCATTGATCTCTTGCATCATGGTGCTCACTGGAGGCAACTGACAGAGGCCTAGAAAACAGAAAAGGGTCTAATTCAGGGATTACTTAGAGTTGTACAAGTTTAACTTGTATCATGAATCATAGAAAAGTAGGGCTGAAAGGGATCTGAGGAGGTCCTCTAGTCCAAGCCCTTGCTCATGGCAGGATCATCTCTCTAAAATATCCTACACAAGTATTTGTCTAACCTAGTCTCAAAAAGCTTTGTGAATAGCCAGGTTACACAAGTACCAGTCACAAGCCTTAAAACAATGTACTGTTGGGAAAACCACTGCCACATACCTGCACCTCTCCTGAGAAGGGTTATACATTAAAAACCAGCTAGCATGCAACAAGCAAAGCAGGGGGAAGAGGGCACTGTCCCTGCAAGGGCAGAAAGTAATTTATTAAAATAAGCTCAAGAGACTCAGGGAAGAGGACCATAACCCTGGCTACTGAGGCCTCCAACACCAATGCTGCTAACTGTACATAAATATATATATCATCATGGCTATAAACCATAATCTCTCTGACGCTTTGAAAGTGCCTTTCTTTACGAAGAAAGGAAGATCAAACTTCTGGATTCAGTTTAATCCTTTTTAACCCCACCGTGGGAATCCTGTGTAGTATGAGTTCTACCTGGTAATAATAAATGTCACCAGATTTTCCTACTCTAAAAGACAAAATAGTTCCCCCTCAGAAGGTCAGAATGTAAGATGATAGTGTGCACTATCATAAGCTCTGCAAATACAAGGACTACTTAAAAGAGCATCTTGCTTCTGTGAAGTGACAATACCTACTGAAGCTCTATGGTTAGGGATGGACACAATTCACAGGGCCAGCTGCCTTTTTCTGTAGCTTCTTCACAGCCCCTGGCTAATTTTTCACAGCTTCAGCATGGCTTCCTCTGCCCCCCTCCAATGCCTCTGATTGACTGGGGTGGCTGGAAAACTTACTCCCTGCTGAGAGACTGAGACAGGGAAGCATGTAATTAACACCAGCTTCTACTAAGCTGGTGTTAACTCCCTTTTCAGTTCAAGTAATTACCTCCTACTGTTCTGCCTAATTGCTCAATTAAAGCCCCAACCCTGGGAAACAGATTACAATTCAAGTAATCACCTCCTAATTTTCACCTTCATGGCCTGCTTAAAGCCCTCCAGGAAAGAACAATTACTTTCCTCCTCCTCCTCTCCTTCCATTAAAGCTGCTGGCAGCTTGTTTGCAAAGCCGCTTTCTTCTCTCTAAAGCCTTTGCCACTTTTTTTCCAGAGCCCGCTGCAGCACCAGGGCTTCATTTTTCCATGGATGATGGCAATGTTCATGAGGAATGCCTGACTGAGTATTTCCCATGAAAATTGTGTAACCATGAATTAAGTATATTCATGGGGCATATAGTTTTGCCTATGGGCTAGATCCAGCCTGTGGGGCTGTGTTGTGTGGCTTGTGGGGTCCGTAATGTGCTTGGGAATTCAAGGGCAGGCCTGCCCCTAAAATCCAGGGCACCTAGCCCTTTTGGCCACACATGTCAGCAGTATACAGTGAACATGTCAGTGCTGTGGAGTGAATGACAGCTATGTTAACCCCCACTGCCTACCCTTGCCCCATCATTGCTGCTTACCCTTCCAACACTGCTGTTCACTTCAACACCCATCCTGCTGCCACTGTTTGCCCTACCACCATGTCCAGACCCCCGCCCACAAGGAGCCCCATAGTTTAGATTCATCCCAGGAGTGACTGAGTTTGATACGCTCCTGGGGTATAGGATAAATGGCATCACTGGCTTGATCTCTATACACAACAATGAAGTGATGCCAACACTCCTTTCCTGGTTTCCTAGCTTTGTTTATAAAACCCTGAGCCCTATTCTTCTACCACTAAATACAAGTAACTTCAATGGGAGATTGCCAACAGAAAAAAATAATTTTCTTGAAATAAAATCCCTGGGAATGTCTTCAAGAGGATTCTCACATCTGTACTCTGATGTATTTTGATTCCTTTTGTTCAAAAGATTTCAACGCTTTGCAAAGTATCTGGTGGGAAAGTCTGGCGCAATCTAATACAGAAGGTCAATAATTTGTCAGCTTTGCTCTCCTCTACAAAATAAACCCATTTGGAAGCTGTCTCTTTCTGAGGAGGTCTCCCCCATTCCTGTGCCTGATATGCACCTGTTTCTATTGTTTTCTCCATTTTATAAGGAGTACACATTACCAATGTTCTTGCTCCACCTACCTTTAAAGACACGTGTAACCCAGCGCCCTTGCAATTCTACAACAGGCATGACAGCACAAAATGGCTTAATAAGGCCAATGATAGCAAGAGTGGGATTCTTGAGATGAGGGTTAAAAATATATTTGTACAGAGATGCTTGGCGATTTTCGACTTTGAGGAGAGATTCCTCCAGGAAAGGAAAAGAGAATGTGTATCCTGTGGCAAAGACAACGATATCAATGGGCTCCTCTTCAGAGCTATTCTGGAATATGACTGAGTTTTCCCTAAACTGCTGCACTTTTGGTCTTATTGTGATCTTCCCTGTGATGATATGACTTGGAAGGTCATCATTCAGTACAGGTTCCCGCAACACTCTTCTGCAGAGAGACAAATGGAAGGATGTTTAAAGGGCTGAGGGAGGCAAGACAACACGCAGCACTACCACATGCTTCATCAGGGAACTAGAGAATGACCTCCAACCTAGAGGTCACAGTTATGGTAATGTTCATCTAACTTAGGATGGTGAACACAATGTGCCATGTCTCAAAGACTCAAGGTCTTCAGTCTAATTAAAAGAACCCACTTCTGTAGCCTTTTTCTTTATATAGATATTACAGTTGCCTGTCTGACCCACTAGCTGTTTCATCTGAGTTATATTTACAATTGCTTTTCAGAGTACCAGCCCACTTTAAACACCTATCTGCCCCTTGACAAGGTGCTACAGATATGAAATCCTAGTGGCCAGTCCTAGCTCTTGGAAATGAGCTATTCAAAAGTTCTTCTCTGAATGATGCAGATGAAGAGGTTGTCTTTCTAAGTTGCACTATATGGATGTAACTGAATAACATCCTTGCCTCTGCCCCTTTGGTATAGATTTGTACCTTCTCATTTTACAGACCCAGGAAATGGATTTGCACTCTTTGGGAAATACAACATACAACATTGTAAAGGTGCTTTCCCTTTCATTCTCTAATGCATAAACCAATTTATCACAACATTAAACAGAAGCTCTAGGAGTACCTGTCCTCAGGAATCAGGCCATAGTTTGCATGGTCAAACCATTGACTCATCCTGTTTGCAATCATCCACCCCACAATGGGCCCTGGCAGGGAATTTCTGACCAAGGCCATGAAGCGAGTTAGGAACACCATGTCCCAGGGGTAGCCATTGTCAAAAACTCGACTCATGGCCCATGCACCTCTGCTAGTGCTGATCATCACCTAAAAGACAACAAAGCATTAAAGCTCTAGCAGATGAATTTCTTTCCTTTCCTTCATAAAACTAATCCAAGACAAAGGTTGTATTCCTGACCATGTTAAAATTAACCCATGTCTTATAATGTCTCTTATAAGTATGAGAGGAAGGTGTTGTGAGATAGATGAAAGTCACCCACACATCCCTGTTCCATCAGTCACTACTTCAGACCATAGTTCCATATGGGCACTGATGGATTATGTTACAGTACTGGGGGCCTTAGGGGCTGGTTTCATTTTTCAGAGCTTAATGAGTCTCTGAATAAGGACTGTGGACCCAGAGATATTGTCCTGAAGCTGAGGAAATAAACAATAGATTAAGGTTCGCAGCTCACTCCATCTGACTATTTTCTCTGAGCAATTCTGGCCTCTTAGGGCTTATCGACACAGATATGGTATTGAGTACTGGCACTGAAGGGCTTGTACACATCCTGCCTGCTCTCTGTCCACCCCTACCCTCAGGCCTTGTTGCTGTCCATCTGACCTTGTGTCCTTCATCATTGATATGCTAAGAGCTGCTTCACTGGTGTATATTCTAGTTTGAACCATGCCTTCAGGTTGGCATGGAGGATATGGCAGCGTGTGGTCCAAGCACCTTGCTGCTGCAACTCACTGATACTATGGCACAGACAAGTCCCTAGTTGTATCTCAAGTTAGCAGGAAACAGTTAACAGAACTACAACCCTCCCTCCTCTCCTCAAAAGCAGTTGGACAGACTCTACCTTTTCAGCCATGTGACTGGCCTCTACCGCGATATCAACTCCAGAATTTCCCATGCCAACCACAAGCACTCTCTTCCCCTGAAATATGTGTGGATGCTTGTAAAACCGGCTGTGAAAATATGAGCCTTTGAATCTCTTTATTCCTGAAAAAAAAAGGGAGAAGATTACTTGTTCCCTGGAATTTAAGCATTTTCATCTCCATTGCCTTTGGGTTATCTGGTAAATGGTCACAAAGAGCAATTTCAAGCACTTCTTGGAATCCATTTGTCTTAATGGGGTTCTTTACTGAACAAGAACTTAAAAAAAAATCTAACCCAAATATGAGGGTTCTTTAATTTTATTATGTATTTTTTCTGGTTAAGGGCAGAGTCATAGTACCAAACTGCTCCCCTTTCTGGAGAGGGTTGGAGGTTGAATTCTTCATGCTCAGTCAGTGAGGTGAAACATTTGCATTAAGGAGGTGCTGGACCCTTCAACTCATGCAGTTTCTGTGTCAAACAAAGCATGTCTTATGAGATAGAAAGCTACAAGTGGAGCAGAAGTTTGGGGCTTTGTACCGGATATTTTAGGATAAATTTCTGGCCTGTACTAGATTGTCAAACTAGAGAATCATCATTTCCTGTCTGGTCCTACAATCTATGAAAAATGACTAACAGGGTTTTCTGTCGTTTTCCTACTATGACCATCAACAGTAGAGCCAAGGAGCAGAAAAGAACCAGAAGGGCCACTTCCTTCTTTTCTTATTGCAGAACATATGGAAGGTGTGGGATGACAGAGCAGGAGATACTAGGATCCATCACATCCTGCTCTCTCCCCAGCTCCAGCAGAGGTGACAAATAAAGTAAGAAGGAATTGGTCCTGAATGTAGTTAGGTGGTTCATGTCTAAGTCATCTGCATTAAACATGAAGCCCTGATTACTTTTTCCTTTAGACCAATACGGCTACAACCTGGACACCTGACACATGGAAGATATTGAATTTTAGCTGATTTTTAAAATGAAATCATAATTTCACAAGCAGGAAGCCACTTTGACCACCTGAAACCTGAGATACTGCTTCTGCCTTTGTTCAAGCTAATTTGCATCATCACAGAGCCTAACAGTAGAGCTGAGAGATTCCTTACCAGCTAAGAACTGCCTGCCTGAGGAGTTTTCCATCTATTGACTCCTTTGTGAAATCCTGTGAAATATGAACTTTCATTTCTACCCAGGAGAACTTTTACAATCTTTTCTCCAATGCCTGATGAAGGGTGTTTGTACCCGAAAGCTTGCAATTAAAGAATTTTTTTGCAAAAAATCTTGTTGGTCTAATAAAAGATATCACTTCTACCAGGAGCCCTGATTGCTTTTAAACACCTGGAAGCATTCCAATACTCTGTGCAATCAGTCTAGACCAGTGATTCCCAACCAGGATGCTGCGGCACCTTGAGGTGCTGCCAGATCTTTTGAAGGGTGCCACAAGGTGTAAGGAGATAAGCAGATAAGTTCAGGCACAGGCTTGTCCCTGCCTGGATGATCCCCCGCACCCACTTCCTGGTCCATCTGCAAGGAGGTAAGCACTGCAATATATACATTAGTTTTAAAAATTGTGTGCCACTCAATTCATGAAAGTTATGGAGGGGTACCTCTAGTTCAATGAGGAGGGCCTTGAGCCCAAGGAGCAGTGCCTGAAGTCTAATAAGTTTGAGAACTATTGCTCTAGACTACTGTATAGCTATTTTTATAAGGACCACCAGTCTGGTAACTGCATAGAATGAATGCAAAAAATATGAAATTCTATTCCATGGTGAATAATGATTAGGGCAAGGGGCTCTGTCCCAGCTTCCCTGATATACTGCTATGAATGTCCTCTTTCCCCACCATGGAACTGAAGTCTGTGGTTTGAAAAGTTGAGGTAATGTAACTTAAATCATTTCTTAAAAACTATTTGTTGTAGCCCAAAGTGAACGCCAGTTAGCTTCTTCTGAAAATCCAAAAAGATGAAAGGGTCTTCAGTTTCATAAGAAAAAAACATAGAGGAAGAAGGAAACAGGAGAAGATCTTGTTCTTACAAAAACAGATTTTGAGACGCACTCAAGGGAATTAAGGGGCACTGAAAAGTTAGCAAAGGAAATACGTTTCCCTAGCTGGAAGTATGGGCCAAATTCACCACAGCTGTAAGCAAATACAACCTTAAAGAAGTGAATGGAATTTAGCCAGAGGTAAATCTGGCCCATTTTTTATACTAGAGCTCCAACCAGTACCATGCTATGATCTTTAACTTATTAGTGCAAACACATTTTCTGAGAAATTTTCCTAACAAAAATCATATTGAGCCTTGGGTGCTTGCTGGTAAAATAGTCACACCTGTAAGAGGCACTGGGGAGAGCAAAACTTTCCCTTAATTAGGCAAGTCAGTTTGAGGAGGGCAGGCAAAACCAAGTATTTAGTATATAGGAATGAAATGTTTTCATTTTGGACTAGTGTTTATGCCAGACACATAGTACTTCTAAAAAGTAAATACAAGAGAGGCTGTACCAGGGAAGGTTTCTAGTGGGAGGAAAGGTTCTGAGAGATATCCAGTGCAAACCATAACAGCATCAAAGACAGATGACTCCTGCTTCCTGTTAGACTCTGTGATGACATTCCATTGGCCAGTGGTAGAGAAATCTAAGTGTTTCTTTATGCTGACGACTGCCGTCTGAAAGATCAAATCACAAGAAAATATATTTATTATTTCTTGTCAGTCAACAGGTAATCTGAGAATAACAGGTAGAACTACCCAGTCAAAGACAAGGTGGAAGACCATGTTCCAGATGCACGGGAGGACAGCCCTGACCTGGGCCTGGAGACAGATTTAGAATGCAATCTCTATGGGGCAGGAACCATCTTTCTGTTCTGGTTGTATAGTACCTAGCACTTTCAGGGCCAGCATTATAAAGGTGGGCTTTTCAGAAGTGTCTCGGACGGCCAGAGCCGACTCGAGGTGAGTTAGAAATTGCTCGTTTGTCAGGGCGGGCTGGTGAATGGAGAGGCAGACAAGGTTTAATGGTTGCAAAAACGTTTACTTACGCCGCCTGTAGTTGCGACGCAGATGGTCCGGTCGTCTGAACAACCACGTGG